TAATCAGAACACAAGAAATACTTGTTAAATCCTCAATGGCCTCAGGTGCAAGCATATCAAGAGCCAAAGCCTCCAGATTCCTGAAGTGCTGTTGCAACATAGGGTTTTCAAACGCATCACTCCTGTAAATACAGAATACTTGCAGTAAAAATCAACTAAAAATCCATGATTGAAAAATCCAGTTGTAGTAAACCACACACCTGTATTTAAAGCGGAGCTTATGCACGATCTCTTTCATCTTATCCACCTGCTCATCTGAGGCTGTGGGACCCTCGTGAACATCCAAAGTGCGTATGTCATCAGCAAAGGGAAGTAATATCACATGGAAGCCTAAAATATAGGATCCCACAATTTGATATCACTTAGCCATTCAATTGAATGTAAAAAGTTCAGTCTAAATCAGGGATGGGGCCCCTCTCCTACAGAGATTAGCTCCAACCCTAAACAAACACACCCGAACAAGCTAATCGATGTCTTCAGGATTACTAGAAAGTTACAGACAGGAACATTTTAATCCGGGTTGCAGCTAAACTCCGCAACAGAGTGGCCCACCAGGACCGAAGCTGCCCATCCCTGGTGTAAATGAACATATCTAACAGTCTTGACTGCAGTTACACTACCTGGAGGTGTTGCCTGGGTTTGACACTGATCCAGTTCTTCTCTCTGGGGAACTAGTGCTACAAACCGAGGTGGCGTGTTACGACGAGGGATGTATCTGCACAATGCAAATACATTTTTTTCACTGCACTTCAAAAGGAGAGCTGTAAACATACAGGAGCTTCCTATAATAAGCAAAAGAAAAATAAGGAACGGCACATCAACTTTGCAAAATATGAAAATAAACGGTTAAGAAAGTATATGGGTTGAAGTGAAAGAGATAGGCATCAACAAATGAACACCTGCCTGATATCTGCTCTTCCTCAGGGTAAATGAAAAGTGCGGGTCGTAAATGATGGTGCAGTTTGAGCCGGTCCATGGGCTTAAACCCCATCAGCACCAAACCTGGATCATCAAACTTCTTAATCTCATCCACCTCATCCTTTTCCATCACGATCTGTTTCTTCCCATAAACCTGCATAGTTAAGTAGTAAGTTAATATACACTGAACAAAATTATAAACGCAACACTTTTGTTTTTGCCCCATTTTTCTCAAAGATCTAGGACTTTTTCTATGTTCACACAAGGCCTATTTCTATAGGCGGATCTTTTGTGACGTCATTGTTTATCGCGTTGCATCATGGGAATCGTGTGGCAGGAAACACCGCTAGGTACCTGTAATTTAATTGTTTGGCACGTTTGGAGGAGGATTTAGAGAAGAGGATGGTTCACTCATGCTGTGTGGTCGATTGTACGGCTTGATGGGGGCCTGATAAAAAGTTTTTCATTTCATTTTCAATAAATAAATAAGAACACTGATCAATGTAGACTTACTCGGCTTTGCAGTCGCAGTGAGCAGTGATTATATATCACCCACGGGAGATGTGAATCACACTGTGACTGCTTGGCCAGGTCTAACCTCTGCTTTTACAGACTGATCTTATGAAATGACGCATGTATAACACGCCAATTCGTATTTCCAACACGCATAATCGCTTTTAAGCGTGTTTGTGAACGCCGTTCTTTGGTTACGCAAACCGACTGCTGCAGCAGGCGCTGTCCAGGTGGCTGGTTTAATGTGATCTTGGAGGAAAAGATGCTGAATGTGGAGGTCCTGGGCTGGTGTGGTTATACGTGGTTTGCGGTTGTGAGGCTAGTTGTGTGTACTGCCAAATTCTCTTCCTTTGGAGACAGCTTATGGTAGAGAAATGAACATTCCAATCACAGGGAACAGATCTGGTGGACATTCCTGCAGTTAGCATGCCAATTGCATGCAACCTCAGGACTTGCAATATCTGTGGCATTGTACTGTGGGATATGCCAAACCTGTGAGGTGGATAGATTATCTCAGAAAAGGGGGAGTATATTTAGACAGATTTGTGAAAAATATTTGAGAGACGTAGGTCTTGTGTGTACAAAGAAAAAGTTCAGCTCATGAAAAATGGTGTCAAAAACAAAAGTGTTTAGAATTTTGTTCAGAAAATATAGTAACTTTAAAGTAAAAGGTCACCTAAAGCAAATAAAACAAATTTTTTATAGTTCTGATTCGAAGTGACATCTAGTGCTGTACCTGTGCCCTCTTCATATCATTTGGCAAAAGTATGCCCCCATTATGGGTGTGAAAGTAGCGGGTTTTAGTGCGCACGGGTTCGTTGTTATCTCTGTAAAGTCTGACGGCAGAAGGTTTGGTGGCAGTCCTGGCCAACACATATAAACCGACTGCCAGATTGACACCTTCTCCAAGCGAGAATGTTAACCTTGAAAACAAATAGGGTGTAAATCAAACACATGGACTCTGGAGACATTTCTGTCCAAGAAACAATACTGCATTTTTTTACATCATGAAATCAATGTTTTTTTTCTGGAATAATACAGTTTACGATAAATTATTCCTAATAATTTAATCAACACAGCAATTAGAAAATGACAACGATTCCAACAATCCAATCAATTCTCAATGTATAAAATCAAACCCCACCATACATTTTTTATTCTCTTTTGACCAGCCTTTTTATTTAGATATATGCATAGGGAACACATTTGAAGTTTGAAACATTATTAATGCTAATCAAAAAAAAAAAAAAAAAAAAAAAACTAAAAAAAGAGAGAGAGAAACTCTCTCACTGCTCTTTCCTGAATCATTTTTGGAACTTTTCATAAGAATAAAAGTATAGTTAATTTACACAGTAAAGACTATGTATTGTTTTTATTATACATGTGATTACTTTATACATCTTATGAAGTATTATTTCTTGTGCTAGAAGTTTTTCCAGGTAGGTCAATTTAATTTGCGTCTGTTCTATTGTGTTTTTTTTCTTTGCTCATTCTTTGTCACAGTTTACTTGTCTTCAATAAGCTTGACGTTTTTTTTAGGCTAGTATTAGTTTTTTTTAATGAAATTGAAAATGATGAAAATAATTATGAAATTCTAATGGCATCAAAAAAGTTGATATCATAAAAATATTCTTTAAAGCAAAAATGTTGTGTCATCTATATTGTTATCGTGAAACAAAATTACTTATAATGTGATATACGATTTTATCATATCGCCCACCCCTTCCTGCGACCCTTCATAAAACAAGTAGTTTGGAGAATGGATGGACATGACGCAGTGCCTTTACCTGCTTTGAGCTCTTTTCTTCAACTCCTTAGCTCTGACCCTCTTCTGCAAGTCCTCGAGTTTCCTGGAGGGCTCAGTCTGGACACCAAGCTCGCTTTCATCCTCTGGAGGGCTAACAATATCACAGAAGAACAGGGAAACGTCGAACCCTCCAGGCTTTGTGAGGTGCATCAAGTCTATGACCACACCTGAGGAACAAACAGAACACAGGCTATACAATGTCCATCATTCGCCACTGAAACCGTGTCATTTTCCCCTTCTATTCGGCCTACCTGTCTCTTTAAGGTCAGCAGCTTTCGTACGAGCCTGTCTGTCTTTAGCACTGTCTCCTCCGTGAGGGTCATCCCTGCATGTGAAGATCATGAGGCGCTTGTGTGACAGTCGCAACTTGATGTCACTGTAAAGGTTGGAGCAGCACCATAGAGCCTCTCCGAGGGAAGTTTCCCCACTTCCTAAGATATTTCCAGCCAACTGAGCTCCTTTCTCACCCAGTAGTTTATCAATGTCTTGTACACGCTGAGCTCCTGAGAAGGGAAACGTGAGATAGAATGACCATCATACACGCAATCTAAAAAGCAAAAAGATTGAGTAACCCACCAGGAGAATCCAAGTCGTGGTAAACGTAGACATGCTTGAAGGAGTTTCTGGGGTTCTTGCTCTGCTCAGTCCCATAGAACACCAAAGCGACCAGATCTTTGTCACTGCTTATGATCTTACTAGTGTACACACTGCGCACACACTACATACAAAGGGAGAATCACGTCAATTAGAAATGCCCAGAAATAAAAAACAGACAAATTTAATGAAAATAAAAGATAATGAATTTAGACTCACCTGCATAGTCATGTCAAAATTTGATGGCTCTCCATCCTCACCCTTGATGAACATCTCTTTGGATGCATCGATCAAAAACACCAAGCTGTCACGGCCACTGACTTTGTAATCGCCTATTGATCAAAAAATTATAGAGGCTTTATGTGTAATCACATTTTAATTTCATGAATGCAAGTTTAATGGAGGAAAAAACAAGCAACTTATAAAGACTCAATAGATGCAGTTAGCTTTGCTAACCTCCAGAATCTTCTTCGTCCTGCTCATCATCAACGTCTTCGTTTTGATAGTACTCTCTCCAATCCGCCATTACTCTTTGCTTAGTTTAAAAACCGCGTCAAGGTTGCTTTCAAATACAGTTGGGGGAAAACAGTTTATCTTACACTTGAACCAGGAACTTTTATCTTTTGAGTAAGAGAACTTTGTAACCATTTGCGCTCGCGCATGCATCCAAGGGCGCCACAATTTGAGTGACACGTCCACTAGCGTATCAGAGACGACTATTGAATAGCAAGAACCAATGACAAGACAAGAGCGAAGTGATTGGTTAATCTAAGCAAGAGGAAGTAAACAAACGTTTCTGAGAACCGCTTTAGCGGTTTAACAAATACTGTTTACAGTGTTTATATACGTGTTTATCATTTGTAATGGTACTCTGAAGCAAGGATCTTAATATATATAATATATATATAAAAAAAAATCCGCCTTGAACGAATCGTTCTTTTCACTCGGATCTTTTCTATGAACGGATCCAGAGACGGACTTAGACGGATATGGATGAATCTCAAAAAATGGTCTGAAGTTCTGAATCAACTGAACAGTTTGTTCACGAGCTAATTTGGAATAAAACCATAAACGCATAAAATGTAATCGAAAATTGGCAATAAACAGCAAAATGTGCCATATATGTTTTTTTTTTACTGAAACGTTGTAGCAAGCGCATGTTTATAGCGACGAGATGTCATTTTATGACATAGAAAATTGCTCTACCGGCATTTTGAACTGCTTTAATTGAAAACAACTGTTCAAACGAACCGATTCGCGAAACTGACAAGTTGATTCCGGTTGATTCAGTTGTGAGCATTAGCAGTCGTGCGTGTTTTAGTTTGCCATCTAGCGTTTTGGAGGTTATTACAGATGTTTGGCAGTATCTCTGCTGCTGCCATTGGTCGGGTCTCCAATGAACAAGCAAATTTGTCACAACCGGCATCAAAATATCCTTAGTCACTCTGTGACAAAGCTGCCTTTGAATGCTGCGTCGGACCTGTTCAATATTTTCTTAAAATAATTTAAACTCAACACGAATGCGTCCCTTGTGTGAATGTTTAATGCGATGATGGGAATTTGAGCCAGCAAAACAGCGAAGTCTTGTTTTTCTAGTTCGGACGGAGTGAGCAAAACTAAGTTTCAGTTTGCTAGCAGTAGCATTGGGTTTTTGTTAGTAAACACACGTTTGTCTAAAGTCGTCGCGATGGCTGATGGAAGTTCTTACAACGTAAATTTGTACATTTATGACCTGTCAAAAGGACTGGCCCGTCAGCTGAGTCCCATGATGTTAGGTGAGTTCTTCAGATGGCCGGAGGATGTTTGGTGATGTTTCTAGTTTTTGTGTTGAGATTGTTTTTGTTTATGACCAATATTTTTTCATATATTTTATACTAAGTTACATGGTAAATCAAATATACCTTATTTAAGGCCACCTTTAGAAAATATGTTAAGAAATACTGACAACAATTCTTTATCTAAACTGACAGGAAAGCAAGTTGAAGGAATATGGTGAGTATTTAACCTTTTTAAAACTCTATAAACTTGCTTATTATCAGGGAGCAGATTTAGATAAACATTGCGGTCCAAAGGTCTGAGACCATTAGTGAAAATGCTCAGGGTTTGATTTTTTTCTTCTTATAATTTTATAAATAAGTAAACAGTCTTTATTTGAATGTGTATTGTTCTTTGGTAACTTAATGAAGGCACACATCAATAGTGGCTTATGGGGAAGAGTTTTTCTTTGGAGGAGGAGGCATCACAAGCTGCTATCCGGTAAGAAATGATTGGATCTTTATGCATTAGACTACAGTTCATTTCTTAAAGTCGCCATGAAATTAAAATAGAAATTCGTATTTTCTATGGAATATTTTAAATGAGTTGTCTGTCGATCGTCATTATAATTTTTTTTTTTTAATTCATGTGCCCTCATAATCTTTTATCAAAACGTCCCCTCCCTCTTTGCAATGACGTGTTCTCGTCAGTTTGGGGGCGGGACAACCTGTCACACACATGAGATCACAGCAGTTAGTAATATCGAACCACAATCCAACGAACTAATCAATTCCTAATGGACAAAATTAAGTCTTAACTTTTTTCTTGTTTGAGAAATCTTGTTGACTTCACACAATAGGGAAGAAAAGACTATCACAAATTCAGTTTCATGCCAACTTTAAGAAATCTGCAAGTTGAAGGCTACGTTATATTTGGAGACATTAAAAACACAACAGGGACTAATGATTTAACCCATCATAATTAAGAAATACTCTCATGTTTCAGGGTGGTACTATTCTAGGCGTGCCCGATTCCACAGTGAACCTTGGAGACACCGAAGTTCCCCGGGACCTCTTTCTGGAATATCTGTCTTCTCTCAGGGAGTCTACTTACAGGTCAGTATTTTTTATTTTTTTGCATTAAACAGGAAACTAGGGAATATATCACAATACAAAACTGCAATAATATGTATCGTGGATAGTTAACCCAAAATAAAAATAAAGAAAAAATATAGACTCAGTACCACATTAAACTACTATATATAATGTTGAATATAATATATAATAATGCAATGGGGGAATATTTGTGGGTCCCGATAATGCTAAATGTCTTATGTTACCAGTAGAAAGTGGCCTATACATTATTTTAAATATATCTATTCAGTGACACAGTGAAAGCATATTCATCTAAAATAATTCTCTCTTCAGCTTCAGAATCATGAATGTTTTTATTCTAGTGTCACTATTGCCTTGTGCTTTGGGTTATCAGCACCAAGTCCAAGCCTATTCATTTACGCCCACAAACAATGTAATCTCAAATTTAGCATTTTAATGAACATTCATTTTTTTGTTAACTTTTTATCTTATGTCTTTGGAGTATCTCAATAATATCGTATCATGAGTTCAGTATTGTGAAATGTATCGAATTGTGACATGAGGGTTCCCTACAGGAAACTGCAAGTATGGTTGAAGCTGTATTTTTTTTTTTTTTTTCAGAAATATTTTTCTAGTTTAATATTGAGAGAAAATATGGCAGACATGTTTGAGAAACCTTTTTTTTGTTTTGTTTTTTGCTTTTCTGTTTGCACATGTGTAAAGGGTGTCAGACTCAGAAATGACAGCCTTTACACAAGTGAATCTGTACCTCTTCCTCTTCTTTCCACAGGCCTGAAAAATACCACCTTTTTGAACACAACTGCAACACCTTCAGTGCTGAGATTTCACAGTTTTTAACAGGATCAAAGATTCCCTCATACATCACTGACCTCCCGTCTGAGGTGCTCGCTACGTAAGTTTGCCCGTACAACTTTGCAATCAAATATTTCATTGACACTAGTAAATGTAATAACTGAATTGAATTACCTGTTTTTTTTTCTCCATAGACCTTTTGGACAAGCGCTCCGTCCTTTTCTAGATTCCGTCACTATCACTCCATTGGGGAACAATGGCATGAATGGATATGGCCAGAGGTAGATTGGGCTGCATCTAGGAATGTATTATTACAACATTTATAAAGAGTCACATAGTGCCTTTTCAGATAAATAGAATCGTGTAGACAAAAATAGCTCTTATATAACAGCAGGTCTTCCAGTTTTTCTGCTCAGTGCCTTTTCATAATGTGACTACTTTTCAGTCTATTGAACTTTTTAACATTTCCTTCAGTGATCTTTGATGCATACAGATGCACCTATTAGTCTGTATAGTTGACTTTTCAGTACAGCATTTACAGCTCTGATGGCAACAAAACCAAACCAAAAATATATATCTATATTTTATTAAACTACAAGTAATATATAAATAGATTTAATGTGCCAAAGCAAATTCTAGTAGGATTCCCCTCATCGGTCTGCAGGTGTCTCTGTCCTACCTCAACAACATCTGCAACTTCAGAAGCTTTGAGAGCAATAAATGATGAGAATAAGGTCACTGATTTTTAAAAAATATGCTATTTTGATTGATGTTGAATGTATAGAAAATTAGACAATTCATTCGTCTTTACTGTTAATAGAGGTCATAATGTGCACTACTCATTTCCAGTCAGTCCCTCCATACATGTTTAATCAGTCACTTCCTTTGTACTTTGCTGATTATTGATTCTTTGTTTTGTAAATCTAAACCTTCCCAATCCTAGAATGCCTTGAAAATATACAATATACACTCAAGATGGTTTAAAGAGATCAGTGTTATAGGAAACACAATAAGTGTGACAAACCTAATGAGTGTTTTTAAAATGTGCAAGTATGACCAGCAATGGATGTTGTATTTCTCAAGTTTTTGACTCCTGTCATTTTTAAAAAAAATGTTACTCTGGTTGTAAATGGTCAAACTCTCCTAAGTCCATAGAATCGGTGTAATCATAAACGCATTACAGCGCCATTAGTAATTTAAGCTAAAAAATAACATAATTTTAGATTAATTTCTAACTTGATATTTTATATATGGTAAACATTCATTATTCATAGTAAAATATGATTTATTTCATTTAGTTCAGGTTGTGCTGTCTGACGTATCTGTGTTCCTGTTGTTCTGTAAATATATATGAGCTCTTTATTCCTTTCTGCCTCAAAACCGCATTTATGTATTTATGAGTTTAATATCATTGTGTCCCTGTTTGAAAAACATTAAAGACAATATGAAACTATGAGGCGAGTTTAAGTGAACCCACGTAAAACTTAAACTTGAACATGAGAAAAAAAAAACCTCACCAACAGTGGTTTATAGACCATTTTGCAAGATGTAAACAAAACTGGTCCAGAAACACTTCCTGTTTCAGTTTGTTACTGTTTTCTTTATTTCACATGTAAAGAAAACATCTTAAAGATGTTTTTTTCACTTTTTGATTCAGTTTTATATGTTCTGTTGGTTGTATTTTATCCCAGCTTTTATGTAGTGTTAAAAAACTGAAACAGGAAGTGCTTCTGGACCAGTGTTGTTTACATCTTGCAAAATGGTCTATAGGGAAAAAAGCTAGATGAGACAATAGGAACATTAGGGCTATTTATACGCAAGGACTAATGAGAAACAATAATCAAACAATGTGAATAATCAAACAATGAACAAATAGCAAACAGCAGAAAATCACATGACAGGATCACATGAGGACAAACCAGGAAACTTGACATTGACTAAACTTCAAAATAAAAGACCTGAAAACAAAAAATGTGAACAAAACTCACAATTTCAGGTGTAAATGTTTCCAAGGTCATTTAAAAATATCCTTTATGATTGTTTTGAATTTTAAATCTATTTGGCTAGCTTTAAGCAATGTTTCAGATAAACGTCTAAGATAAATGAATGATTCCAGAGCCAGCACACTAAAAGTTGTCCATAGTTACAATTAGCTAAAAAACTTTACACATATACTGTACAAGTACAACAGTCTCTACTTTTAATGTTGCATTTGAATTGCATCATCTTGTTCACATCTTCTATCATCATCTTAAAGGTTCTTTATACATAGTGAAAATATGCTGATGTTAGTCATTAGTCAGGCAGTCTTTAAAAATACAGAAAGAGAGCTTTGTACTCTATATCCAATTATTTGCTTAAAGTTTTCCTGCTTTTTGGTCTTGTAAATCCACCAAATCAGATACAGACTCTCATATCTAATATCATGTATGGTTGGCACTAACATGGTTTTCTTCTGGTGTTCGCTCACACAATCCCTGACGTTTGATTTCATGGGCCATGCCACTAATTAACCACAGCAGCTTTTCGGGATGTGATCCTCGCGTCCAATATTACTGTCACAAGCTGATAAAAAGATTTTACATCTAATACTTTCAGTCCCATTAAAATAAGAGGGGAGTAGGGCAAGGGAGAGCGTGAGACTGACTCCAATGCTCATGAGATGAGCAGAGACATTTGACAATGTGTGTTTATAGCATACAAAACACATTTATAAAACTTAAGCCTTAAACTGTACAGTAGGTGGTTAAACATAATCTGACTGTTGATGTCTTCATCTGCAGCTTGGTCTGTGGTTTACATTTAAAAAACAAAACAAAAAAAACGAGTGTTAGTGTTATTAATATAGTTGCATGTTCTCTGACGGCAAGTTTGATGGCTTGGGTTGAATATCCTTTACAGGGTTAGTTCACCCAAAAATGAAAATTCTGTCAGTATTTACTCACCCTCATGTTTTTCCAACCCTGTAAGACCTTCGTTCATCTTCGGAACACAAATAAAGATATTTTTGATTAAATCTGAGAGCTGGATCACTCCTCCATACTAGTCCATAGGCTTCTTGAGGAATCGAAACTTGCCATCCTCGAAAAGTAATTAAAGACATCGTTAAAATAGTCCAAGTGACTACAGTGGCTCAATCATAACTTTCTCAAGCGACGAGAACACTTTTTGTGCGCAAAAAACAACAAAAATAACCACTTTATTTCAACTATTCATTTACTTCTCTCTCTGCCTCGAGTCAGGTTACTCGTTTAACAGTGTATGATCTGTTGTACATCACACGCATCACACACATGACCAGCGGCGGCCAATAGAGAGCCTACGTGTGACGTAGCTCTACGCTATCACACTACGTTAACTGACTAGAGGCTCATAGCTAAGGAAGTGAATAATTGAAATAAAGTCGTTTGTTTTTGCCCACAAAAAGTGTTCTCGGCGTTTGATAAACTTATAGATTGAGCCACTGTAGTCACTTGGACTATTTTAACGATGTCTTTAATTACTTTTCGAGGCCGTCAAGTTTCAATTCCTCAAGAAGCCTATGGACTAGTATGGAGGAGTGATCCCGCTCTCAGATTTCATCAAAAATATCTTAATTTTTGTTCCGAAGATGAACGAAGGTCTTGGGGTTGGAACAACATGAGGGTGAGTAAATACTGACAGAATTTTAATTTGGGTGAACTAACCCTTTAACCACTCCGCTCCAACTATCAGTTTTTTATGAGTGATTCAATATTTTGTTTGATTTGGAAATACGTCTCAACACTGGAGAGAAACGTCGGTTTCAACTTCCGGTTCACGTGGACTTTAAATGGAAAGAGCTCCTTGTTCTAAACAATGAGCTAATTTACAAAAAACAATTTGAAGAACAGTTTTTCTTTCCTTGTTTTCGCATGGCACTTTTCTCGTACGAGACTGGGGGGAACAGAGCTGCTTTAGGGATTGCTCTTGGCTCTGTGAAATTTCTTATGCTTGCCTTTTTAAAATCAGGAATTTTATTTTCCAATTCTTGGTAGCCAACTGCATGGCTGGTAATTTAGTATTTGACTTAATGCATATGGGGCAAATAGATCTTGTTTGCATCTAACTAATTTGCATCTTAGATCAACTGAGTGTGAGGAAATGATTAATTTATATATTACTTTTGCTTTGTATTTTGTTCTACTCCACCAGGAAAAATAGTTCCAATCAGCTGTTGCATGCCTCAGTGTTGAAATGAATCAGTGTTTTGGAAGGAATTGGTTGAATGAATGATTCAATGACTCGCTCATTTTAACACTTGTCGCCATCTACTGGCATAATGATGTAATCCACAGAAAAAAAGCCCACCACTAATTTACAGACTGATGGCTTGGGTTGAATTTGGAACTACCATATATATCACAGAAAGAGCTTCTCCCAGTATCTAAGTAACTTAATCCATCTGCCGCTTACAAAACATCCTAATTACGTCCTAAGAACGTGTTGCTAGATGATATTCAACACATGCAAAGACAGCTGCACTTTTCATCAGATCACTATGCAAGTAATTAGAATAATTACTTCAGATTAAGATTATGAAAAGTGATCTATTTATGCTTCAGCGAATTTTCCCTCAGATTTCAGAAATCCAAAAATGTAGTTAATCCTTATATTTCTCAAAATAAATGTGCACACGCATATCAGACAAGTAAGCGGTTCACTCGCCACACACATGTTGTAAACTTAAGCGCTTGTCTGAGCTATGAATAAATTGATATAGTATATTATTTTATTTAACATTGTTATATTTTATGGTCTCAAGTTTGCCATAAAAAAATCTTCTTTACGTCTAACCTAATCTTCAGTGTGTGTGTCTACGATGACTGCAATATTAGACTCATTCAACATTGTCCAATAATCTATGAAATATGGTCAAAGATTTAATATAAATTGAGAGATTAGAATTTACTTTATAATTATTTTGCAATAATATTAATTATAACAATAATAGTTTCAAATGAATATTGCATGAAAGTTATTTTGTAGTGTAAGTTTTTCAGATGCTTTCACAAAACATTTGATGAAAAATCATGTGGAGTAATATCAGATGATAAATCCCATGGTTGGCTGCTATTCAATCCGATTTTTCTTGAGGATTGAAATACAAATAATTAACCTAACTCAACTTTAGCATTTTCACTTACAGTACCTTTTTATGATTTATTTTTGCTTTTAAAAAATACAATTCTATATTTGCACCACTTGAGGAAGGTAAAGAGTGTTTGATGAGTTTGAGAGGATTAAAAAGTACGGTAAATAAAAATAAAAAAAGTTCAAGATCTCACGTCACTGAAATGATGAGCCATTGTAAAAATTAATTTAGAGAGAGGACGAAATAGACAGTTCATTCAAATTCAATCCCCTGTCTAATACGCTTAAGATGTTCATATTTCTAACTGGGAGATAAAAAATTACTCAACAGTTTGAAAACCTTTAAACCTTAAAACCTTTGTACTGCTTTAATTCTTAAACCGCGGGGAGAAAAGAAGAAGCCCCTGGCATAGAAGTCCCACATTCATTCCTCTGGATATTTAAAACATTATCTGCTTTCAGGGTAAGGCTAAGGCTAAACTTACTGATGCAAAATCCCGTAGTGCTATAATCATCCTGTTTCTGAACCGATACTAAGATTTTAGACCCATCAAAAAGTAGGTTAAAAAAAGAAACCTATTTGCTTGCAAGGAAGGAATGAGAGTGAGTAAATCATGTTATTGAAATTCTGAGATGAGTGGCAGGTTTTCTCAATGGATCCAGGTGTTTCTAAACCAATTTACTATAATAAAGAACTGAGCACAGAGGAGTGACTGGCTATTTGCATCTCTTTTCACTTGGAAAAGGTCAAGTTTGACAGAGAGTCTACTGAGACCTCAAACAGACCTGACTGTTTATGAGACATTTAAACACACCAGAGATTTTCACGAAAGGGAATGTGGTTGATTTCCTTTTTTCCTTCTCTTTAATATCATTACCGATTCAACGCAATGTATAGGAATACCAGTAATACAATTTACAATTATTTCAATAATAATGTACGGTGAAGAGAAACCACTCTGTTTTATCATGTGCAGAATGAGGCCTGCATTGTCTTGTTTCCCAGGAAAGATGTCATCTTGATGATATTAAATGTTTTTGTACAAACTGAACATAATGCCTCGTCTTGGGACGTCTTTTGACCATACGTCAAGAAGATCCACATTTTAGGGTACCCTTAAACGTCGGTCAGATGACGTTAAATGAGATTCAATGAAACACTTAAGTGAATGAATAAAGGGCAAGATAGAAAATGCACATAACACTCACAAACACCGAGTTCAATTCAGAGAGCAATGTATTCTGAAAGGACACATTTATCTTCCATGCACAGAGCAAAAAGTTCTGGCTCAGGATACATATTAAATTAGGGGGATTATTCAGATTCAACATCATTTTAGCCTTATGATTGTTCTCCCAAAAATAAAATTTCTGTCATCATCAAACAATGTAACTGCAATGAATGTGTAGTAATAAATGCTTCCAAAATGTCACAAAAATCCTTCTAAAGCCAAATAGGAAAACAGTGTGACCAGGCTGGGAGACTAAACTAAAAGCAAACCATCTTAAAACGGTTTTTGCAGCAAATCAGAGTGTCATAAAGTGTTCCACCTGACTTGTATGCTCGTATCATCTTCATTCACCCCTTGGGATCATTTATCAAACATTTCCACTAATCTGATAATGTCTTAATTTTCTCAGTAAGTGTGTGTGTCTATGCCTTAAGCTCCTTTTAATATTTTTTTTTGCTATGTTTACATATCATGATTTCCCCTGTGTTCTGTGTGTTCTGCAGTCCAGGACTTTTATTTTGTATATTTTAGTGTATTTTATGTTTCCATTGCTCCCTGTGCTCACTTCATCTGGTTTGTTCCTGTTTGGCTTCATCCGAAAAACTTAAAAATGCTGCGACAAGGTTGTTCCTACCCAGTCACTGGCCATGCGAATGTTTGACAAACGCAGCAATAGCCGCCACATCAGCGCAGTCTCATCCCAAGTCGTCATATAACTGACGGATGTGGATGTGGATCTGGATGTGGATCTACCCTTATCCAAGAGCTCCTGTAGGAAGGAGAGAACCTCCGACACCCCACAATCTTGTGGATCCAGGTTGTGAGCTGAGCACCAGCCTGAGAACACGGACCACTTGGAAGCATAAAGCCGTCTACTAGAGGGGGCTCTAGTTTGCGTAATCGTGTTTAACACTCCGTCAGGGAGACTGATGGGTACCCGTTGATGGCACACACATGCAGAGCCCAAAGCTCGGGTCGTGGGTGCCAAATTGTACCCCCGGCCAGTGAGAGTAGATCTCTCCTCAACGGGACAGGCCACGGAGCCAAGCGCTGAAGCTCCGGAAACCAAACTTGGTTCGGCCAGAACGGAGACCGTTCTCCCTGATATGCTTGATTGCCTGTGGTAACAGCGTGATCGGAGGGAAAGCATAGAGCTGGGGCCTGGGCCAGTGATGGGCCAGCGCGTCCTTGTATTTTGTGAAGCATATTGGACACTGAGCGTTGTCTCGAGATGGAAAGAGGTCTAGTTCCGCTGTGCCAAAGGTGTCCCACAGCAGCTAAACTGTCTGAGGGTGGAGGAACCATTCCCCTGGGGGAACGTTGTCCCTGGACCGCCTGTCTCGATCCACATTCAGATGGCCTGGCACATGAGTCACTCTCAGCGAGAGAAGGTTGTGCTGGAGGGAGGCATTCTGTGCATTAAGGTTCTGTGACCACCTCAGACCACCCTGGCGATTTATGTACTGTAGGAAACCACCAACATGTTGTTTGTGCGGACAAGGACATGGTGGCCCTTTAGAAGGGGAAGGAGAACCGCAAGGCCTTCATCTCTAGACAGTTTATGTGCAAGCTCTTTTCTTGGCTTGACCACAGACCAGAAGTCGTTCTTCCCTTGTAGAGGGCGCCCCAGCCCGAATTGGAGGCGTCTGCGAAACCACTTTCAGTTTTGAGATTACCCCCAGGTTTACACCTCTCTGATACCAGTCAACCGCCTTCCAGGGCTCCAGAGCTGTGACACAGTTCTGAATTACCTTGAGACGTAAATGACCAAATGCAGATGCTCCTAAACGCAGGCCTAAACGAAGAAATGAACAAGTTGTGAATGGACTGTGTGTTTGGCACGCGTTTTTTAAATAAGAAATTGCATACTTCACCTCCGATTGTCATGGTAAGGACAACGTTGTTTTTAGTCTTGGAACCTATTTTATTGGACTTGACCACAAATGTACACATAGATGCCAAATTTTTCATTATAGTTATAACAGAAGCAAAGATATGGGCCTCTCAAATATGATCGGTGGACATTTTTTTTTAAAAAATGTGAGTATATAAGATACAAAATGTGATCTCACTTTTGCCTTAGGATAAATTTATTTCTATGGGCCTAAGGTACTTCCATACCAAAGGGGACCTTTGCACTTCACTTAACCTCCCTACTATAGCAGGACGCATTCCAAGGTAGAAAGGCATCAAGGCACGTCTGAATCCAATGTTGACTTTACTTCCTGTCTCCTGAGATACCTTCATCTGATACATTTTTGAAGGCAGCCCAAATGTATCCTTCGCTGCCTTTGATATCCCACAATCCTGTGTTCCATTCTGTGACAGTTGAGCTAGAAAAAAGAAATATGTCGTCTGAAAGTTGTGGTTGCTGATCAGTTTGTGTGTAAATGTACGTTTTTGACCAATTAAATATTTGTTTTTTTTTCACTAAAGCTCTCTTTATTTTGATGTTGATCATTAAACTGTTATTCTGCCACAGACGTCTGTTTAGTGAGGTACCTTTGTACACAAACGCTGCCTGCAGACATTGCCTATAAGGTAATGAAGCAACAAGTCAGCAGTTTTAGATACAGTCTTTGTTTTAGCTGCCTTGTTTCTTACCATAGCAATTCATTACCCTCACCCAGTTTATAGGCTACCCTTGTGTTTCAGTTGTCTGTCATTGTCCACGTGTGTTTTTGATGAGCTGTTTTTGTTCCTCATTTGGATTGTCTTCTTCCTAGTCTGGATTATTGTCATCTTTTTTTCCCCTGTTTGGATTTACTGTTTGAGAGTTTGTTCAGTAAAACTCCTGAGAATAGATATTCGCCTCTATTCTTCCCTGTCACTCTCATAAAAAAGGTAGCTGTCACTGGGGCTGTACCTTTTCAAAAGGTACACTTTTGTACCTTAAGGGTGCATATTGGTACCTTAATGGTACATATTAGCACCTAAAATGTACATATCAACACTTAAAATATACATATTAGTACCTAAAATGTACATATTAGCACCTAGAATGTACATATCAACACTTAAAATGTACATATTAGTACCTGAAATGTACATATTAGCACCTAAAATGAACATATCAGCACCTAAAATTAACATATCAACACTTAAAATGTAAATATTAGTACCTAAAATGAGCATATCAACACTTAAAATGTACATATTAGCACCTAAAATGAGCATATCAAAACTTAAAATGTACATATTAGCACCTAAAATGAACATATCAACACTTAAAATGTACATATTAGTACCTGAAATGTACACATGAGCACCGGAAATGTACATATTAGCACCTAAAATTTACATATTAGCACCTAGAATGTACATATTAGCACCAAAAATGTACATATTAGCACATAAAATGTACATATTAGTACCTAAAATGGACAAAAGTGTACCTTTTGAAAAGGTACAGCCCCAGTGACAGCTTTCGTACCTTTTTTCTGAGAGTGTACTGTAACATAACACCAATTCTGCAGAATTCTACATATTTTCTCAAAAAAAAAAAAAAAAAAAAAATCAGTGCAGAAAGAGTTACGAACGAAATGTCTGCAAAAAAATCCATGTGGCCCTGGATTTTAAATGAGTGATGAGGCATACAGTCACAATGAATTATTGTAATGATCAAAAAGTATGACAACATTTTTAATAGAGTACAAGTCACCAAGACGCATTGCAATCTCAAAAAGGACATCAGGCAAAAAAGGGCAGAGTAGGAAATATATGTTAAGAGAAAACCAAAGGAGACCAAAAGAGATCTGTGAGATGTCTTATTCATCCTGTCTTTCTTCCACTCTTCAGAAGCTAGGTTATGTTTGTCACATCTTAACCCTGTGTAGAAAGCTGATCAAAGACAGCCCAAGCCCATCACAACTGCACTATTTGTGCAGAATGGAAGGAAATTATGAATGCAAATGGTTGATTTATGTTAATATTTTGACAGTGGATAGGTTGGACATTTTCTGTCAGTGCACTAAAAATGTTGGAGAGGAATGCTTATAAGGCATGGTGAATACTGTTGTGCTGATGGACAGGGGGTGGGGGACACTTCAAGGGGATTTTGTCATCAAAACACATAAATGTAAATTTATGTTCTAGTTTCATTTGATGTTCACACAGTTTTCAAGTTACAGGCATGTGTGACAGCGTATTACATTACACTAACAACAAGCAACATATACTGTATGTGTATGTTTATATTAAAATGTATGTCACATAACATTTTGATTATGTTTTTGAATATGTTTTATATCTTCAATTCAATTCAAACTAAATTTTTTTTGTGTGTTCATGTACAGGGTCGGTGAGATTTTTAAATGTTTTTAAAATAAGTCTCTTATGCTCACAAAGGCTGCATTTTTTTTGACCAGAAATACAGTAAAAACAGTAATTGTAATATGTTCAGTTTTGTCTTCATTTTCACTGCAGTGTTCAGTTCCTGCCTGTGTTCCCTTTGCATGTTTGTCTCCATGGTTTTTGATTGAGTCATGCACATGTTTCTGGTTATTTTAATTATCCCTGTGTATTTAAATCAAAAATGTTCTTCAGTATCTAAAAGCCTGTGAACTAAACTATCTTCAGTAGTGTACTGTAGCTGGATGGAAAATCTCTCTCTCTCTCTCTCTCTCTCTCTCTCTCTCTCTCTCTCTGATATGCTGAGAACAGAAGGGAGGAGTTTTAATTTGAATCCTGAACTGTTGCCTTTCACAAGGCACAGAGACAGCAGTCTGAGTGGATCGCTGTGGATTAAAACACCTGTCTGTGGGTTCACTCGCTCTACTGGAAAGGATTTTGATGGCAAATTACTGCAACTGCTTGTTTACAGGGGTGAAAAGAAAACTGAAAAGGAACCAATGGTGAGCACTGAAAACAAGTGTTGAATTACAATGGAAAAAATAAAATGAGACTCATATCTGGACAGGACCAGGATCAAGTATTTATTTTCTCTCCGAAAGGTCAAAGGTAATGCAGTTGCAATTAAAGAAACTACCATTTTATACCACTTCTCAGTAACTATTTTATACCACTTTTCAGTTACTACCTTCTTTTTAATTAAGCAAATACTTTTTTTCTTGTTAACAGTGCATTTTCATTGAAACGATTCTGAAATAAACACCTTTATTTATTTGAAAATATAACAACCTAAAAAAAATGAATATTCAAACATTCTAAAAACATTACTGAATCTCTAAATTCTTTGAAATATTCTTAACTATATCTATTTGTATGACAATAAAAGTCATTCAACACTTTCAAGAATTCTTCTTTTAACAATCATTTCTTGGGTATCTCTCAAAGTGAGGTAGATCAGTCAGGTGAAGCATGGCTGGAAATTGTTTTTTACTTCATCTTCTGCTCACTGCCATTCTGGGACGGGCTGCTAAAGCACAGGACGAGACTTCTACTGATATGGACATCCAAACAGCCAGTCAGACCTTAGATCCTTTGTTGATTTCTGTGACATCAGAGGGGCCTCCAACTTTGACCACACCTGGAGAAGTGGAGGAGGATACTGTGCCATCCACTGGCACCCGTTGCCGGGGTTACTATGATGTGATGGGCCAGTGGGACCCCCCCTTTAATTGTAACGCAGGTATCTTCTTGTACTGTTGCGGCACTTGTTACTACCGGTTCTGCTGCCAGTTCCGCCAGCAGCGACTGGATCAGACCTCCTGCTCCAACTATGATACTCCCATTTGGGCCAACACTGGAAAACCTGTGGCCACCAACACTGAGGTGCAGCCAGACCACGAGCGGGATCGAACTCACATGATTGTGTACATCATCTGTGGTGTGGTGGCCATCATGGTCCTGGTGGGAATCTTCACCAAACTAGGGCTGGAGAAGAGCCGTGGAGGCCAGAACGATCTCAGTAACTCCAGGTAAGTACAAATTATTATTATTGTTATTATTATTATTTTTTTTTTACAAAACATAGTGAGCTGCTCTACATCCTAAATAAAATGTAACCTAAAATATAACCTCCCCTTAAGCCCTAACTGTCCCACCGGTGGGACACCATCTAATGAAAAAAAAAATCATAATCAAATTACTAAGCAGCAACCACTGAATTTAATAACACAAAATATGTATAATTTTAATGCGTAGAATAATATCATCACTAATCAACTCCTAAGAAGTGCCGAGTAATCCCTCTAAAACGGAGTGTACCGCTAGCTGTGATAAAAAAAAAATATACTTTTCAAAAATATTACCTTGATCAACTTAAAATAGGTGTCATTTGAAAGCTTAGAGTCTGAAATTTAACACTGAATGTAGCCAGTTTGATAAACTCCTAAGTAGTGATGAGTTATTTGCTGCTAAATAGAGTTTATTTTTTTCAGAATATATAAAATACTTTTTTGTACTATGTACTGCTAAACAAACAGCTCATGAAACATTCACAGATCATTAAAAAAGACACCTAATTTTTTTACAGCATATTATTACAATTAAGATGAGCCCAAAGCGAACATAATCTATTGTGTTTATGACAAGATATTCTCCATGGAGGAACAATTTCAAAAATGCCAATTAGGGGGGCTTCAAGAACTGAACAAACAGGCTACATGGGTTCCAAATGCTGTAACTTTTGATTACTTTATCCAATCACCACAACATTTGATCCAGATCCAGCTCACATGTAGAGGGACTTCACCAAACAAGATTTTTTTTTAAGATACCGTATTTCCTTCCAGAGTTATTACATCAAACAAGAAAAGATATGCAAAATAATAATAAAAATTACTGTATATATATTTTTTTGTCTTTTATCAGCAGTTTCTCAACAGTACAATGTCCAAATGTAATGTAATTTATGTTTTCAAAAAAATGTGAAAAGTGTTCTATCAAACATTACCTACCTTTTGACTCTTCTTGTTACAGTTTAGAGTTATGAGTCTTTACTTTTATGTGCGTCTCTCAGACAAAACAACTTCATGGCTTAAGGGGTCCATACGAGAATATTCTGAAATGGTCCAGTAATAGGCTACAAAAATAGTGCTCTCTTAATTAAACAAACAGGCGACTACTCACAATTGATTCCAACAAATCTTACCGCTTAACTTGATCACTGCTAACCAAACATCACAATACTATACAAAGCACACAAAAATAGGATGTAAAATAGTCATTTAATACTTAAGATGTAAATACTTAAAGAACCATATGCTGCCAACACTAAAATCAAAGATTCTTTCTTGGCATATTTGGATCCGGTAACATCATTTCCATTGCACAAAATGTTTTTATAATGAAAACAAATGATATTAAAATGTTCTTCACACTAAGAAAGTTCACTGAAAGGTTCTGCAATGTTTCTTCTATCACTGTGAAACTCCCCTTGTGGGACTGTTGAGTGCTCCTTTTTGTAATAGCTTTTGTAAAATGATGTAGACCGCTTACTAGGTTTTGGAACAGAGCTGTCTCAGAAAAGACGGAATTTTTTCATGTTAAAAGTGCTTATTTTATGTTCGTATTATTACGTTCAGAGTGTGTTGGTTAACCAAAGCTATTTTGGTCAAGGACATTTTGGCCCACCTAAACATCATATACAGCAAACTAGTACAGAATTGACTAAAGCCATTAATATGTATGTGGCTCTTCATCATATGTAGGCTACAACAAAAGAGTTGAAGAAAATTAGCAAAGTATTGTCCTAGGATTACTTTAATATTCATGTCATCGATGCAACCCATTCAACTAGAATATTTTTTCTGATGTCTCAATTCCCAGTTCCTTTCCCTACAAATGTCAAATTGAACCAATTGTTCCCAGCTCTAAATATTCAAAATCCCTTTATTAATATCAAATTACCTGTCATGTGCAATAAAACACATTTAAAATTCTCTCAGGGATCTGCCGTGACTCCATTTTAGACATGAAATGACCCAATAATGCAAACAGCCCTATCTAGATGAACACATGTGGAGGACGGAAAATATTCATCCGAAGATTAACATTTTTTCGAGGTTAACAGCTCTCCAAGATTTCCCACACGCTAAAAACTGCACACCAGATTAACTCTTCTCACAAGATTAAGAGTTCTCCTGAGATTAACACTCTGCTTTAAAATGAAACCAACATCTCTACAGATTAACGCTTTTTGACGCTGCTCTAGACATCTTATACAGTTCCATTCACACCAGTAAAAATAACCACAAACAATTGCTCAGATGTTGAATTGTGCTCCTAAAATATTTCCCACTTTCATTTTCAGCCATACCTTAAATTGTCCCTATTTGATTCAGAGGTTCTTATTTTTGTTTTGGAGGTCTCATATGTTTACATGCATCCAAGGACAAATACACTTTGTTCATAATATATATATATCGCTGCATCACCTCATTTTTTTACAGTCATGTAAGGCCTGCTAGTAAATCGATCCAATGGCGGTAATCGATTAGAGGTGAAGGTCTCACACGTATTCCGTCTCTTCCCATGACAAAGGGATTTTTAAATAAATGCAATACATTTTATATTATGTATTAACTCGTTAATTCATCTGACTCCATAAATGAAAAGGTTTTTTTAATGATATCTGTGCATCTACCTGAACGTTTGACTATTCCTTTTAACTCAAAAATGAAGTCAAAGTCTGTTAGAATAATCAAATATAACAATTTATTGTGTCAGGTAAATGTATTACAGCCCATTCTCACCCCCAAGGCGTCACTTAACTGACGCCTTGGGAAGCATTTGGACATGCTTCAATATCTGACGCTTTAGGCGCCCTTTAGCGTCAGTTAGATGACGCCCTAGGATCGCGTGTACCCTACCCCCACCCCACACCTAAACCTAACCGCGTCCTCTAACTGACGCTTTCCTTTAGCGTCAGTTAGATGACGCCGTAGGATCGCGTCATGTAAGTGACGCTAAAGGGCGCCTAAAACGTCAAATATTGAAGCATGGTCAAAGGTGACGCCTTGGGGTGAGAATGCGTTGTGTATTATTACAATTTCATAATCAATTGAAAGATAATCAATGCAAACCATCAAATGTTCTAGAAAGAGGAAAATCCTTTATACAACAGTGAGTTTCTCAACCACACGGGCTAATGTGAATACAGAAACGGCCCTGAGCTCTTCTTGCATTTTCCTTATATACCTCATTTAATATGTAAAACATGAGTTTAGTGGAAATGTACTGTGTTCACCCCTCCAGATTTACTGGGGGTAGAAGTTGACCGTTTGCAAGAGACAGTTGAAATTAGCATTCATGAATTTTCATCTTTTGGAAGTGCCTAGAGACCACATTCCTTTGTGTGCAAGTAAACACTAAACACATGTATAAAACTTTATGATAGTTGTTCAAATAAAACCTTATAGATTTTTGTGTGAGTGTGGGTGATCTCTTCAAGAGTGGGGGATACAGGTAAGGTAGGGTGACCAACTGTCCTGTTTTCCCACATGTCCTGAGTGAAATCCGCGTGCAAATGGTGACGCAAAAGTGTGTGAAATTCAATGTAGTATGCACTTCAGCCAGCTAGGAGTGCATACTACAACAACACCAAGTCCAAGCGCCTGCGTACAACCTTCACTGTCAAGCAGACTTTTGCGTTTTTACCGTTTACACGGGAACGCGGCGGTGGAGCGTTTTTAAGATTTCCACTCTGGAGGGTGGTTTCACTTTTTTGTGTTTTTAAGCCTCAAAAACGCCGTCGCCGTGTAAATGAAAGGCACAGCCGATAAAATATTTTTACGTTTTCACCCGCGAGCGTTCTCGTGTAAACATGGCCTAAACCTCGCTCTCCGAGAGCCTACTCTGTTCTGATTGGTCAAAAAAACTCAGTCTGTTGTGATTGGTCTACCGCTTACAGCTCATGTCAGAAATGATACAGCCATTAAGCTCTGGATCTAGCTCTGGAGCACAGTGCAGAAAACAGCATCTTGTTTCGAAACCATGTCTCAACATGTTGAAAACACGCACTAAACTTCTGCAGGCCTTAGCGACTACAATGTGTGAGGGCAGGTCAAAGTATGCTGTTCACGGGCAGCTAATGAAGACCTTTGGATGGAAGGAAGACTGGAATTACTTTCATTTGGGAGATAAACTTCATGTATTGTGCAACTTTGCAGACCTTTTACATTTATAAACGGCTATATCCAACAAGTATAATATTTGAAAAAGGATAATAGGGGGACTTTAATATCTGAATGTTACACCAGTATTTTAAATTCCCTGAAAATCTCTAACCCTTAATTAATCGGGGAAGAGGAAAGCAGTATATCAATCAGCCTAAACTTATACAATCCATACTTTGATCATAGTTTTGTTATGTAAGCACTGAAATGACCTATATTGCTATGTGTATCATTGCTGAACAATGAAGGACATACTAAATCATTGGGGATAAAATAATATAGACCACACAGAGAATGTGAGTCATGATAATATGAGACATAATGCACTGTGGATTCCAGCAGTGATCTGGAAATCCATAATTCAGATCACATCTTAAGCAGCTTGCCGATACCAAAGGCAAGATTCTGAACCATACAATATCCCATCCAAAGTTAAAGAAATGAATCAGCAATCAGCATGCTGGGCAGAGTTTTCACCCATACGGGTGTCCGGAGGGGCTGAGATCTTTGAGATATCACATTTACATAATGTGAGACCTTCTGGATCAGAAAGGGGCACATCATTTTGAGTCAGACTTTACCTAAAAATTGTTTAAGTATTGTAGATGTAAAAAGTGTGTAAAAAATTCCAATGACACCTTCACAAATCATTTGCTTAAAACTGACAATTCTGTCATTATTTACTCAGCCTCTGCCATTCAAAATACATATGACTTATTCCTGTGAAAAATTAGTTTTCAAAAGTCCAAACGTCTTTTCCCATTGATCACTGGCTGTCAGGTTCAGTTGCATTTTTTTAA